GAGGAAACTGTTCAAAAGGGAAAAAAAGCCTATCACACTGAGGTGGTGATAAAACATGACCTTTACAAAGCTTTAACTGGTATTACATCATAAAGACACACGAGGGCACTCTAATCAACCAGCAAAGAGAAACAGAAAAAAGAGTGAAATCAGGCTGACATTTTAACAATCGCACTGCAATAGGTGAATTAAGCACTGGAAAAATTGTGAATGTTTGTAATTTATAGCAAGAGATTTTCTGTTCTTGATCCAAATTCTAAGAAGCCAAAAGAATCCTACAATTCTGTAGATTGAAAAAATCCATCACTCTCAGGTCCAAGGTGAGGATTAACCACACCCCTTTGGAATGATTTATTAAATTGACCTTGGGGCAGGATTTGCCCCTTTCAAGAAAAGATCTTCTACATAATCTACAATTCCACTTTGTGTTTTACTTGTCCTTCACAAGAAGTCCATGAATCCCTTTCTTTGCTCCATCTGTTTTCCTAGGAGAAGTGGTGAGTTAAAAGTTTGAGCCTTCTCCCAAAAGCCATAGTAATGAAACAGCATTTTGTACAAAGAAGCATAGACTACTGAAGAATAGCCTCATGGCCTTCTTGAGTTTTTAAATTTGTAAATACAACTACAGCACATAATTTCCTCTATCAAATTCAAAAAGTATAGCATAACAAGCATTTTACGACCTTTCTTTCAGACTTTTAACAAGAGAGCAACAATAATTGCAGAGAGCCACAGACTGTGAGGCAATCAGGTTCATTCACTAAAGATTAGCATTAATCTTAAAGTCACATTCAAATTTGAGCCTCAGTAAAATTACAAATAATTCCTTGTCATCGATCTCAGGGGTCAAACCTAATAGTTAAAATGGAAAGTATTAAAACTTTGAATGCCAAGGGTACACTGCGATTGCATAATAAATCTTTGTTGACTGAATAAACTAGAAATTCTCTCTATCTCTGGAACTATCTATAGGAAGTATGATACATGCTGCACTCTTGAACTGCTTCTTACTATTTTATTCACTTTAATCTTCATCTGTTTGACAGATAACCTGGCATACGCCAGGCTCTGTGCGAGGTGCTGGAGTCCCTGCAGACTCTTAAGGAATGAATCTTGGGTTCAGGCCTTGGCTCTATCACTTTTTTCATCTGTGTAACTTTGAGCCACTTCACCTCCCTGAGGTTCAAATTTTCTATCTGTAGTGGGAATACCATCACCTAGATCAAAGGATTAAGTGAGACACTAAATAGCAAGTACCTAGCATAGTGCCTGGCACACAGAAATTGCTCCATAAAAGATAGCAATTATTCCTTTTTATTCCAATGGTTATTGCTTATTGTAATTTTTTTTGAGGAAGATTAGCTCTGAGCTAACATCTGCTGCTAATCCTTGTTTTTTTTTTTTTTCTTGCTGAGGAAGATTGGCCCTGAGCTAACATCCATACCCATCTTCCTCTATTTTATATGCGGGACGCCTGTCACAGCATGGCTTGATAAGCAGTACGTATGGCCGCGCTTGGGATCTGAACTGGCGAACCCCAGGCTCCTAAAGCAGAACGTGCGAACTTAATCACTGCACCACCGGGCAGGCCCCTAGTGTAATGTTTTAATTCACCCCTTAATCGATTCTCAATGATATTCACAGCTTTTGATAATCCTTCAGCAATTATTTATTTGACTACTATTTAGTGGCATCACACTATATGTCAGGCCCTAGGAATAGAGAGTCTACAGGAGGGACAACAGACATGAAACCGTTAATTACAAGGGCTACAAAAAGGAAGTATGCCATGGAAGCATATAACAGGGTCACCTAATTCAAGGAGACTTTGAAGAAGTGCTATTTGAAGAGAGAAATCTGAAATATATGAAGAAATAGGAAGGCAAAAAAATGTTGCAGGCAATGGAACATATTTTTAAAGAGTCCCAAAAGCAAAAGAGAGCAGGGTGAGTTCAAGGTAGTGGAAGATGTGCAATATAACTGGAACAAAGAGAGCAAGGGAGATGAAGGCTAGACATGAGCCTGCAGAGGGAGGCAGGGCCACATTCTGCAGGACCAAGTAAGCCAAGTTAAGAATTGTAAGACTTTATCCTAAGGGCAAAAGAAGCTACTGAGGATTTTATGAAACTCTGCAGTTTTAAACAACTTCTGGGATGCACAGTAGAGAATGGATTGAATGCAGGGAGACCAGTCAGAAGGTCTTGTTGAATTCCAAGCGTCACATGAAAAGAGCCCCTACAAAGGCAGTATTAGTGGGACTGGAGAGAAACAGATCTGTTCAAGAACAGAAGTAGAATCAATAAGATGTGGTCACAGATTGTACATGGGAAGGGTATTTTAGGAAGTTACAATCTCAAAAACAAGAATGTGCAGGGGCCAGCCCTGTGGCAGAGTGGTTAAGTTCCTGCGCTCTGCTTCGGCAGCCCAGGGTTTCACTGGTTCGGATCCTGGGCACGGACATGGCACCGCTCATCAGGCCATACTGAGGAGGCGTCCCACATGCCACAACTAGAAGGACCCACAACTAAAAATACGCAACTATGTACCAGGGGGCTTTGGGGAGAAAAAGGAAAAATAAAATCTTCAAAAAAAAAAAGTGCTAAAAACCAATTTATTTCTGCGTTTCATGACTATAAACGTAAAACATGGCTTACTACATATTCCTGAAACAGTACACAAAGTTAAAAATTTTAGGCCATGGGAGGATTTATTCCAACTCTATGGGAGGCATGAGACACAAAAGAAGTCTGACTTATTGAGTGTCAGTGTTTTTGAAACCACTTTGCTATGCTGATAGAAATTCTGCATTATATATCATCTACCACCTACTAAATGAGTTTTAGCATGTAATACATAGATTGAAAGTAAGGAGGGAGGGAGTATAGATAGAACACTTCCTCTTCCTCTGAGGCATCTTTTGCTTCTTAAAGGAAAAAATAAGTTTCTACTTTTTTCCCTTCTATGTTTTCACATCTCTAAATAAATTACACAGGAGGATTTTATGAGCAAACCAAAGTATATGTAAAGTAAGCCCTGGCTCTCTGATACCCTCAGCAAATGAGCTGTTATGAAAAACACTGTCACTCACTTGCCTACCTTCTCACGTAGCACACCAAATATAACATCTTTTTTTTTTTTGAGGAAAATTAGCCCTGAGCTAACATCTGCTGCCACTCCTCCTCTTTTTGCTGAGGAAGACTGGCCCTGAGCTAACATCTGTGCCTGTCTTCCTCTACTTTACATGTGGGACGCCTACCACAGCATGGCTTTTGCCAAGCGGTACCATGTCCACACCCGGGATTCCAACCGGGAACCCTTGGCCTCCGAAGCAGAACATGGGAAATTAACCGCTATGCCACCGGGTGGGTCCCTAACTTATCCTTTATTGAGGACCTATGGTCTGTGTTCCAAGCCAAGCTCTTCTGCTTCTCTAAGCTGAACCCTCTTCATGTATGGCCCTAGTCTACTCCTCCTTCTTAACAGTTCAACAGTCCCTTTCCAGGAAGCTGTCTCTGACTCCTCCCACCCCCCAGTCATCATCCTCAATCCCCTAAACCCTGAACATGCCTTTCTTTTACCATGAAAACAGCAAATTATAATTTTGGCTTACTTTTCTATCTTCTGCATTAGATTGCATGCTTCTTTAGGGCAAGGGCAGTGATTTTCAACTCTGCATTCTTAAATGTTTTGCATTCTGACCCAGAATCAAACTGACATTCTCAAGGTTTACTGATCTGTACCCTATCCCTTACATAAACTGCTTTAAATGGAGACAGTTTTGGAGTTGAATTTACTTTTAATACTTTCTCTGACTTTGCAGAAAACAGCTGACACTTTGCAGAGTATATGCTTGTAGCATGTATGTGTGCTCTGGAAAAGCATATTCAAATAACTAAGAAAATAAACCTTTTGTTTTTGTATAAAAATTACAGGAACTATGGGGCCAACCAGGTGGCTAGTGCTTAAGTTTGTGCACTCTGCTTCAGCAGCCTGGGGTTCCCATGTTGGATCCCGGGTGTGGAGCTACACACCACTCCTCAGCCATGCTGTGGCAGTGTCCCACATACAATACAGAGGAAGACTGGCACAGATACTAGTTCAGAGCCAATCTTCCTCAGCGCGTGCACACACACACACACAGACACATTACAGGAAGTAAAGCTTGACAATACGTGGCTACAGGAACACAGATTTTAAAAGGTTGAGAAATAGCATCTCACACCTGCTTTTCTACTCTCTGAATTATACTATTACTAATCCCACAGAGTTGGAATAAACTAGTTATATCTGTGTGCACGAGAGTAAAATGACTCAAAATAAAGGTTGGAGAAGCTTTCCTATAAGCCAAGTCTTTGAATTTTGTGATGCAAAGACCTCTGCACGCATATAGTATGCTCCATCTATCCTTGGCTCATGCACTCCCTACAGCCCTAGACTTCCTCTCCCCCAATCTTACACAGGGTTTAAGGCTCAAATCCTCCAAGATCACACCCTGAGCTCCTTCTCTGAATTCCAAGGGCGTTTAGGAGTATACAGAAGAAAATTTAATAAGTGATAAGTCTCTGCTAAATTATTTTCTAGTCTCTGCTCATATTTAACGTAAGCCTTCTCAACAACGGTAGAGAGAAACGCTAATCAAGTGCCAATCGCGCGGAAAGAACTTATTCTAACACTCACGTGGCAGCTGAGAAACACACAAGTCAAACATAGTTCAAGTCCAACCTTAGTTCGTAGGTGAAGAAATTGACAGTCAGCCTCTTAGCTAACCAAACGGATGCGCCAAAGGATGAATCAGATCTCCTGGCAATTGTGTGTAGGGTGCAGTGGGAGGTGGGATTCAAACCTCAACAACAAATAGCAGCTTTCCTCAGTCCACCCCACTTTATAGTTTCCTAACTGCCACCTCTCCTCCACGACGGTTCCCTTCTCAAAGTGAAAACGACGAAGTCCAAAAGGATATGGCAATACCTTTGCCCTCTAACCTAGGAGCAGAGACTTACCAGTTTCATATTGGACTTTTGGTTGTTCAACACCAGTCACTCGACTCCCTCATACCCAGAAAGCGTCTTCCGGTTCAATCTCTGCCACCGGCCCGCCGAGAGCATCGTGGGACATGCAGTCTTTCCTCCCTACGCCCCCTTCCCGGGGCATCATGGGAAGTGTAGTCATCTCTGCAAGCATCATGGGACCTGTGGTCATCGTTCCTTTTCCTCTCCTTCCTCTCTAAAGGCCGCCTCCGTCAGCTCAAATTCTTCCCCGCCGCAAATTCATCCTCGCTCTCCACCCCAGCATGATATCATGTCCCCCTTCTGGGCCTGGGACCCATGGTATTCTGGGATGTGTAGTTCCCACAGCTCTGGCGCCCCTTTCTCCTCCTCCCTGTGGGAAGGCGGATGGGCGCGGGACTTGTCGGGAGCTGTAGTTCTCTGGGGTCTCTGGACGCCGACTCTCGCGCTTTTACTCAAGGGAGGCAGGAACTACAACTCCCAGGGCCGCCCGGCTGCAGCAGGTGGGAGCGGGGCTGTTGATATCAATATGGCGGTTGTCAGCCAGACAAAGACAGTCAGTCTGATGTGATTGAGACAAGAGAGGTTTTCAGGGGGAGACTGGGAGATAGGGGCCTCCCCTCCCCCTTCTCCTCTTCCTGCGCCGGCCTCAACCCCTCCCCAGGCCCCTCCCGACGGGCGCCCCACGCGGAAGACACCCCTCCCCCTCCCGTTTTCCCCTCCTCCCTACCTCAGCCCTTCGTACTGGGACGTTGGGGAGGGGGCTGTGCCGGGCGGAGAGAACTCAGCAAGGATTCTGAGGTGAGTCGAGCGGTTTTGAAGCCGGACTACCTCAAATCTCTCTCCTCGCTTCTTTCTCTTCACTTTTTTTTTTTGGAGGGGTTTTTGGGAGAAAGTGAGTGGGCTGGGGATGGGTCTCTTAAGCGGCCCGATTGAGAGGAGGGAGGAAGCGGGGGTCGTCCTAGTGAGTAACACGGACGGAGGGTCTGGGGTGGGGCAGTTTTTGGGGGGCGGCAATTGAAAGGCGTCGGCTGCTCCCCAACTCTTTTCTTCTGGTTTCCTCCACTATGGGCGAAAGGTTTGACTCCTGGAGGTGGGGTCTCCTGTTTGGAGTTTGGGAAACTGTGAGGTGAATTTGAGGTGTGTGGGTTTGTTTGGGGTGTATAACTGTGTGCTAAACTGTGTGACGTGTACTTGTGTGATGTGTTAGTTTTGAATAAATGTCTGTAGATAGGAAGTTAGATAGCTGGAGTCACAGCTTTTAACTGGGCCTGGGCAGAGAAGTGTGCTTGAGGTCCGGGTGCCGGACCTTTTGGCTGGCGACGGTGGTGCGGGGTAGCCGGGGTGAGCAACTCGTCTGTGTCCCACTGCCCGCTCACACTCCTCTGCCCCGCCCCCGCCCCGGACAGATCTCCACCCCAAACTCCGGGCAGGAGAATGGTAGGGATGAGGTGGTGTGGAGATGGATTTTTGCATCCTTAAGTCGGTAGATAGGGGGGAAAGGAGAAGTGTTCTTAATATTTTATTCCGGAACCGTGTGTTGGTTACACTATTGGGGCTACTTTGAAAGACGTCCTCCACCCACCCTCATCCCGAAACAGTAGGTGGAGGTATCTCGATGTCTCGTGTTAAATAGATTAAACATTGCTTAAGATTCGGGGGCGTACGGCAGGGGTCTGGAGTGCTGACATGTGTATGTGTCTCAGTGTGTCTACTAAAGACAGAATGACTGTTGTGTATGTTGAGATAGGGCGACTTATTTTCGTAGTAGGAAAAACTGTGGGAAAATATTGGGGCGGGGGAGTAGCTGAAAGGCGCATCTTGTATTTTTCTTCTACCCCACCCTGTTCTGTCTCGTCTGAAAGCTGGAATGGAAGAGTGAGGGAGCACTGGGTGAGTGTAGAGGAGAATGCCGTTGGCGGTAAAGATACTATACTATGTAAAGTTGAATGGTATAAAGTGATTGCTGTTTTTATTTGCCCTAAAGCTTTAAAAAGCCTTATGTATCATGTTGGGTAGATTGATGTCACTAGTTTATTTCTCCGTGATCCTGCAGGTATAGAAACCTCTGCCTTCCCTCCCTACCTTCCTTCCTTTCTTCCCTTCTTCCTTCCTTCAGTTCTTCCTTTCTTTCTTGGCGTGGTAGATTTCTCTTCCTGGATGGACATATGCCTCCTGTGCCTGTTTATTTAGTTTGTGCTAATATGGTTGCATTTTTTGTGGTTTTACTATAAAATCCATCGCTGGATGAAAAGGATTTGCATTTATTTTTATTTTGCATGTATGTCTCAGGTAATTATCACGAATCAGGATTGCAGTGCTTTGCATTAAACTTATTTTGAAATTGCATAACTAAGTTATTAGATCTAGTTGAATTATGTTTATAGGGTCAAGTTTGGGAAATCTGAATTCTGTTTTTTTCCTCAAGTTTCAGTTAAAGTTATAAGGGGAACAGGATTGCAACATCTCTTGTTTCTCACAGTCTTTAATATTTAATAATATTACACCAGGAGAATTTAAGATCATGTATTTTGTACTTTCTTCATTCTGAAATATGTTTTTCAATAACCCTTTTTCTGTGACAGTTTTGTAGCGTAATGGACTTTAAATAACTGAAGAAAGTGGCATAATGTCTCTTTCAACTATTGAGAATTTAATGTATTTACATATTTGGCTCCAAACTTATCAATTCTTGAACCTATCAGTAAAGGACCTTGGATTCCATAAAAATTGAAAGTCATGTAGATACAGTGTGTAATTTTATGATATGTTTTATAACCTTTGATTTGAAATTTCTGTAGTTGGTCAATCACACAGACAAGCTGACTATAAGCATGAGGTAGCATATATATTTAGATTGACCTGATTAAAAAAAATTGTTGTCTTCTAAATCTCAAATTTAGAATATAGAATATGTTGGTACAAAGCTGAGCCTTTAGTTTGTTGGAGACTAGGATTTCCACAATTATTTGTTTTAACCTTCTATGTTGACTTGAAACATTACTTTGCAAAAACTAGAGAAGAATCCTATGTAACTATGGAATAGGGTGGGGGTTTTTTTGCTGAAAGATATTCTGTTAGACATAGAGAGTTTTAAAGTGTTCAATACTTATTTGAGAAATAAAAAACTAAAATTCTGTTACAAGTTGGAAACCCACCAACCCTTCCCTCACCCACCCTTAACTCAGATTTTTTTGTTTGTTTCTTCTGTGGAAATGCAAAGTTACTTACTGAAAAAAGCTTCCATTAAACTTTTTCTGACTAGTAGTCTGGTTGAAATCATTAAAAGTAAACGAAATGTATTCCTTGCATTCTTTGAGGGTGATTCTGTTGCATTTTAAGCACTGAGCATTAAAATGATGTAAAGCCTTTACTGCAGGTTAAAGCATAAAACATTCACAGCATGTGGACGTCATATGGTTTACAAAAAAAGTAGAAAATCAGGGCACTGGTGCCTGTCCAGCTTAAAATTTCATCCTGTAACTGTGAAAGACATTTATTTTAATATGATTGCTTCTAAAAATGATTCCTGTATTATGAGAAGTTGAAAATCCAAGCAGTTTTTAACCAATCTGTTGCTAGTTTAGTGTACTGCGTATAGTGAGTACCGTGGTTGCAAAGTGTGCATCAAGGAGCCTTTAGGGGTCAGCTTTATGTTGAATGTCTTTAGTGAGGCTTCACTTACACTGCTGTACAAACAGATTTAGTCGTCTTAGCGCAAATCCTTAGTTGAAGCATCACTAATAGAAACTTAATAGCTCAGTATTGGTAAGTTATAAAATATATTGGAACAAATCTCTCATTGTTTCATCATTTAAAAAAATAGAAGTAACCGGGGCTGGCCCGGTGGCCGAGTGGTTAAGTTCGCGCGCTCCGCTGCAGGCGGCCCAGGGTTTCGTTGGTTCGAATCCTGGGCGAGGACATGGCACTGCTCATCAAACCACGCTGAGGCAGCGTCCCACATACCACAACTAGAAGGACCCACAACGAAGAATATACAACTATGTACCGGGGGCTTTGGGGAGAAAAAGGAAAAAAATAAAATCTTAAAAAAAAAAAAAAATAGAAGTAACCAATTGATGGCAATTTTTGTGTCAAGTATTGAGTGGAATGGAATTGCTTGTTTCAGTAGATGTTGAACACATTGGGAATATTTATGCTTCATTTGTTCATTTTGGGTCTTTTGTGTATTATATTCAGTCCATTCCACTTTTAATGTTTCAGACAGTTTCCCTGTTTCCTGTAAAACCATGTTTACTTTTTCTGTTCATTTCTTTGCAGCTCTTCCTTCTATTATGTTTATATTCAGATTTTTAATCTTGAATTATTTCTCCCGGGAATTAGAAATTTATCATAGGATGTCATTTTTTATAAATTAAAGTTGGCGTACCACTCAACTTTTTAAAAACTTGAACATTGTAGATAAACTTATAAGTGCTGAATGAAAATGTGTTGGGTTTGTTTGTTTTATGAACCTGCTTATTTAGGTTTTTTGGCTTCCAGAATTAATTTTATAGCTCTCTTTGCTATTTTGCTAGGTTTTTCTGTTAACTGTTGGCTTTTACTTCTCAATTTACTAGAACTTTAACTTACAAAAAAGTTGTTATAAGTAGAAATCACAGATTGTCTAGAGTGTCATATATGTACATTTACATGTGCACTCACATAGAAAGTGCCTTTATGTTTGTTTATATCTGAAATTGGTAAGTATCCGTGAAACATACAACCTGTAAAAAAGAAATCTGAACCACAAATAGGAGGAAACTCTCAACAGTGGTTCAAGCTAGAAACCAGAGAACCACCATCACATTTTACACTGTTATTTTAACAGATTGTGCCAAAATCTGTTTCTCTCAAAATGGAAGCTATTGGTATTGAAATTTTTCTCAAAATAATATTGAGTAATAGGAGACTGAGATTCCTAGGTGCAGCTGTCCCCCCAGATGACCCTTACTGGTCTTAGAGCCCATCATAAGTACAGAGTAAAGATTTTTCCAAGTGATTATTTGATGTAAAACTTTCAGTTAGAGTCTACTTAACCATAATCTGGTGCTTCAGATAACTTGTTTTTCTTGATCTTAGATGAAACAAGTTGGATATTTACTATAACATTGTCTTGGACATTTTCCAAGAGCATTTAGTTACTGGAAGGCTCTGGCTTTAGCATAGTTTTACCCCTACAGTGGTACTAGGGTTGATGTTACAGTAAGTTTTTCCAATGGTTATTGTAATTCTAATGCAGCATTTTACAAATCCTTGACTTGGGCTGTAAGGATAGTGTTTTTGTGTTTTTTACTGTTACAAACAAAAGGAGAAAAAAGAACAATGGTTGATTTAGCTTTGAAGTTATGAGTTATTTTACCTTTTTTGAATTTTAAAACAGGTGTCCACAGATCCCTCCTTTTCAGTGATAAAGTGATTGTAGTCTATTGGAGCGACGATTATGACAAGAATGTTTACTAAATTCCACATATTCTCTGTAGCTTCTCTGTCCATCTTACATTCTTTGAGGGTCTGCATGTGGTTTATCAAAAAACATTTTAATAGCTCTCTTTACTGTATGCATATTAAACAATTAGTGTGGAGTTGCCAAGCGACAATAGTTTTAATGTATGTAGTCACGTTTTTCAAAGAGGGGAAAGTCAAATGCTGAGGCTGTTGCTGAAATGAGGATAACAACACTTAACCTATCTGCTTTCAGATTTTGTTTAAGTAGTAGTATGATTAAAATGTGAAGCTGTCGGGTTGGGCCTATTCAGTCAAGACTTGGAATCATCCACACTCTCCCCATCCAATCATGA